CAAAGCTGGGTGCCAAGTTGGCCACCACAGGACAGCTGTACCTGGCATGGAAGGATGGTATGGATGTTTGTAATGCAGGCTGGCTGGCAGACCGGAGCGTCCGCTACCCCATCAACATCGCCCGATCGCAGTGTGGGGGTGGCCTGCTAGGAGTGCGTACCGTCTATCTGTTTCCCAATCAGACTGGCTACCCTCTCTCAGACTCCCGCTATGATGCATTTTGCTACTCTGGTACAAAATTCTGTTATATAGCTATTCCTTCTTTATCATTTATGATTGTTTATCCACATACATACGTGTTATTTGATTGTTTTATCCTTGTTGATCCACAATAATGTGTGTTTAATAGCTGGTGCTAATTGATTAGGTACTGACAGGTGTATATTGTTCATATATTTAAATTTAGAAACGGCTGAGGAAGGTTCTGGCCTATTGCCATTCGTCATAGAGACGACCACCAAAGCCGGCAGTGATGTCCTGAGCGTGGACACAATCACAGCACGCCCCCAGGTCTTTTTAAAGCCCACCTCCACAGGAAGTGAACTGCAGGGAAAAGTTGTAACATACAAGCCATCAGTGACCACTAGTGTCGAGTTCCCATATACTGCACTAAATGTTTCCCAGCTGCCCCTTTCACCACCCCCCAGCTCTGTGGACACTGTGGAAGGGGTCACTGATGGGACTGATCTTGCCTCCGATTTATCCCGTTTGAATGAAACCGAAGCTATCATGTCTACCACAGGTATGTATCAATATGAGAACAATACAGTAAAAATGAATGTGAAGCATTATTCTGTTGTTCTCTGTGATTTGACACACGTATATATTGACTGCAAACCACCATAATTTACAGTTAATATTGATTCTATGTGTATAAATTCTTATTTATTCCTCTGTACCACCTTATATATCTCATTCACGGTGGCTTCTGTTCACCTTATAGTATTTGCATAATCAAATTTATCATGCCAACAACACAAACAAAAACCAATGAAGTTTATGAGGGTTACACTGTTCCTCTTCCAAGATAAATCATGAAGATGCATGTTATATACTGTCATCAGTGTCAACGTATTTATATCGCTACCACAGTGAACAAATGTCTAGATGCTGAATTAGACTGAATGCAAATTAGTATATTAAACTGGAGTAACAGCTTACTCAAACTTTTTGAAATATCAAATTAGAAACTAGATTTTTAATTTCTGAAGACAATTTAAATAGCATGTAAGAATCTTGCACTAGATAAAAAAAATGTTTAATACAAAAAGACAATTGTTTCAGTTTTATAAACCTATGTAACTTAGATACATCTGTTGACACCCATTGTTATTAATTCCCTCCGCAGGGGTGGTCTTCCATTATCGTGCAAGCTCCGGTCGTTATGCTTTTGACTTTTTCGAGGCTCAACTGGCATGTCAGAGCATCGGTGCAGTCATTGCCAGTGCCCAGCAACTGCAGGCAGCCTATGAGTCTGGTTACCATCAATGTGACGCTGGCTGGCTGTTAGATCAGACTGTTAGGTACGATTCACTGCACAATTGTAACATTGTGGTGAACGGTTCAATTTTCTTTAAATTGTTTGTGTGTCTATTTTTATAAAGTTATAATGTAGTTCTGTTAAATGTGGGGCAGTGGACACCTTCACTTTATATTATAATAAAGTTTTTAAATTATAATTTTTTAATTATAGATTTAACATATATAAACTTATAAGTGTTAAGCAAAATATTTGTGGCGGTGTTGATGACAAATGCTTCTAGTGGAATTATCTGCCTCATACTGGACCACAAAACCAGGCATAAGGGTCAATTTTCGAAATTGAGATTTATACATCATCTGAAATTGATGTATGTTTGTTAGGCTAGGACAATATTTGGCCGAGATACAACTATTTGAAAATCTGGAATCTGAGGGTGCAAATGGAACATGATCTTTACTTAATATTTTAATGATTTTTGGCATAAGAAAAATCTATAATTTTGACCCATACAATGTATTGTTGGCTATTGCTACAAATATACCCGTGCTACTTGTGACTGCTTTTGTGCTCCAGGGTCACATATATTTACAAATGTATGTAAATGATGTTTATGCAGGTATCCCATTGTGTCTCCACGTGAGAAATGCTCTGGTGATTTGGAGCATGTTCCTGGTGTGAGGTCTTATGGACTGCGTTCTGCTGATGAACGCTATGATGTGTACTGCTATGTGGACAAATTACGGGGTAAGAGGCTGTACATAAATACATAAAAACTGTTAAGTGGACAAAGGGTAGGTAAATAAATATAAATTACTTCCATTTTAAATTTCTGAGAGTGAAACAAAACAAAACAAATAATTCTCTCCTTGGAAAAAAATAATTCTAAATCACTGTGTGTTCACATTTCCAGGGGAAGTTTTCCATGCAAGTTCATTCGAGGGATTTACTTATGGTGAAGCAGTGGCTTACTGCCAGGGCAAGAATGCCTCCCTGGCCTCCACAGGAGACCTGTATGCCACTTGGAAGCAGGGCTTTGATAAGTGCCGTGCTGGCTGGCTTCTTGACCGCAGTGTACGTTACTCCATCAATAACCCGCGGCAGCAGTGTGGTGGAGGGAAGGCTGGAATTCACACAGTTTACAAGTTTCCCAACCAGACTGGCTCTCATGACCTGCACTCCAAATTTGATGCATACTGCATCAAGGGTAAATACATCTACAGTGTAGTTATATATAGGTCATAAATTGTAGATTCTTGTAAATGTAAAACATTAAGTCTGTTGAGTGTTTATACAACATACATTATTCTTTACATATTTGTCATTTTTTATACATATAGTGGATCTGGATCTGTCTCTGAATGAAAGTGAAACAAACATGACGGTGACAGAGGAAAAGATAGTGAGCATGACATCCCTCCCTGCTCTTCTCAAACCTGGTAATATACTGTAGCTCAGGATACATATACGAGTCAGTGACAATAAGGATAAAAAAATATGCATAAATCATACATCTGAATAATTATGTAAAAAATGCTCAAATATATTTTGTTATATTTAATATATTGCAGTAATTCATAAATATTATTAGGTTTTGAGGCATCACAGTCTGTGACATTTTACAACTTGACTTAGCGTTGGCTTACCAAAAGAAGTGAAATTAAAGTCAAATTGTCTGATCAATAAACACTCATTGACCTTTGATGAGGGTCTGCAAAGGTCCTCTAATTTCCGGATTGATCACATTTTCTGCATGTTTTTTCATCTCTGTTTTTTGATCCCACCCTCCTTCAAATTAAAAAATAATCAGAAATAATTAAAAACCTGAGTGAAAATGTGTTTAAAGGGATGGATCACCCAACAATGAAAATTATTTTATCATATATATGTTTTTCATTTTTGAGTGAACTATCCCATGTATTTTTAATGTATTTTAATGCATGTCATGATTAATGTTAATTTTGGTGCAGTACCTTAGATTCTGTGTATATCTGTGTTTCCTCAGAAGGAGCAACTCTTACTACTATCCCTGCGGAACCCTCTGGATCTGGCGCATCTGGGGCCAGTGGCACTGATGATCAGTTGAGTAGTGGGAGCGGGGATCAGCCAAGTGGGTCACCTGCTTCAAGTGGAGACTCTTCTGGGGCTAGTGGCACCGATGATCTGTTGAGCAGTGGGAGCGGGGATCAGCCAAGTGGGTCACCTGCTTCAAGTGGAGACTCTTCTGGGGCCAGTGGCATTGACAGTCTGTCGGGCAGTGGAAGCGGGGATCAGCCGAGTGGGTCATTTGTTTCAAGTGGAGACTCTTCTGGGGCCAGTGGCAATGGCAAACTGTTGGACAGTGGGAGCGGGGATCAGCCAAGTGGGTCATTTGTGTCAAGTGGAGACTCCTCTGGGGCCAGTGGGAGTGGGGATCTGCCAAGCGGGTCTTTAGGTTCTTCGGGATCTGGCAGTGGCTTAGATATTCTAGTGACCTTTTCAGGAAGTGACTCAGTTTTATCAGGTGTTGGATCAGCTTCAGGAAGACCCGAGGAGGCTGGGGAGGCAGGCACACAGTTCCTGACCTTTCCCTTTGGCCAGGGCTCAGGCCTCTTCGGATTGGACACCTCTGGATCAGGATCAGGAAGTGGGTCAGGGTATAGCTCTGAAGAGAGTGGATCTACCTCAGACTTTTCCAGCAGCTCAGGAGAAAGTGACGAGAGTGGAGACCTTTCTGGCATATTCTCAGGATCAGGTTCTAGCAAGGAGTCCTCAGGATTCAGCGGTTTCCCATCAGGAATTTTTCCCTCTGGAGGATCCAGTGGCATTTCATTAATTGATGGCAGTGGTGACATCATGGTGGATAGCCCTTGGGTGAAGGTGTTCACTGCTCCACATTTAACAGAACAAGAGCTGGGTGGAAGCCATGTGGATTTCAGCGGATCAGGACATATCTCAGGGTCTGGGATGAGCATTGATGTCTCTGGGATGAGCGGTGATATCTCTGGGATGAGTGGTGATATATCTGAAGTTAGCGGTGTCCACAGTGGCTCTGGGAGTGGTTTAGAGTTTTCTGGTCTGACATTTTTGGAATCGGGCTTCATTGATCTCACAGAACAACCTCATGAGCAGGAAGCGTCTGGACTTTTGCTGTTTGGGTCTGGTGAGGGAAGTGTATTTACATCTGGAGTCTATGCCATTGAATCAGGGGAAAGATCAGGGGAATCATCTAGCAGTGATATCATCTTCTCCAATAATGGCATGGTGGAAATGTCCAACAAGCCCTTCCAAGGCATGGAGCTAGGAAGGGGGGAGGTGGAGTACAGTGGCACCATCAGGTTGTCCTCAGGGAGTGGAGACGACCAAAGTGCCTTTGCTAGTGGACAAGAACATGAATGGATCCCAGTTACGGAAGATATGCCAACAGTGAACTTCAGTGATGCTCCCTCAGATGTACTATCTGCTCAAGGGCCATCTGGCCTGTACAGTGATGCTTCAGGACCTCCATTGCCTCCATTGTCAGAACCAGAGGGAATCAAGAGTAAACTTGACACTGTTACTTCTGCAGCTTTGTCTTCTACCACAGAACCTACTTCTATACAGAGCCCTTCTGTCATGGAAGGACTTGTTGTGAATGGTGAGATCCCTTTTGCGTAAAATTTGTTAGAATATAGAACAGAGATGCATGACATATCAGTTCCTTATCCATTACTGGCCAGTATTAATGATTTATTTAATGTGTCGTCTATACAATTTTTATATTGCCTATTTATTGTTATCCATAGCGTGAAAATAATGTTTGGCTCATTGGCGGATCATAATATAGAAATATTTTTCTCACCTCTTGAGAAAAAAAAAACCCTGCTCCTTTTTATCGTGTTTTTTTCCATCATGTGTTGCTCTCTTTCTTTCTCAAAACCATAATAGCTTCTCTTAACCCATGTGAACCAAACCGTTGTGGAGCTGGGGTGTGTTCGGTGAAGGATGGGGTGGGCATTTGTCACTGCCCACCTGGACTGCATGGAGAAGAGTGCCAGTTTGGTGAGTCAGACTGAATTGGCTCAGTTATTGAATCGGTCACATAAATTATGGTTACTTTTTAAAATGTTGTATTTTGAATATTTGACATTTTGATAAACATTCTTATGAACAGCCATCCTGTTTGCCTTTAACAGCTGGTGTTGCATTTTTAGGCTTATATTTGGGTTCAAATGAATCAAATGATTGTCTCTAAGTGTCTCACTGTTTTGCATTTTATTTGTGAATAACTTCTGTTCAGTATGCTCTTGCCTGATTAATGTCATCACAGTCCATTTTACAGGTTATGTGGCATGTGTGTGGTTAAGTACTTCTCGACTTACTCAGCTCTTGTGTCCAGATGTCTTTTCAGTGACTGTTCACCTGTGTTGTTTTTGTTCAGCTGTGCCTTTGCTGCAGTCTGGTTTAATCAGCACGCCTGCTAACACCTGGTATATGCTCATACTTCTCGTCCATCTTCAAATGAATCTGAACTCCGCTTCTGTTTCTGGGACTGTAAGAGTGCTGATCTGCTCACCTCATGAGAGGCTAAAAACTGATCCCAGGTCAGCGCTCTTACAGCAACTGACTCTGATCTCTCCCTCAATTTACCACAATTTACTGAGTGTCTCTTCTCAGCTTATCAAAATATTGATGGTATAATTATGCAAGAGATTCGTTTAGAAGCAGCTCCAAGAGTTGTGATTCAATTGTGCTCTCTGCCAAGCTTGGCCTTCCTCAGGGCATCTTCATAGTAGTCAGCTTTAATCGCTAAACGTTTATTTGCAGAGGTTGATGTTTGCCATTCAAACCCTTGCGCCAATGGAGCCACCTGTGTGGAGGTGGAGGACACTTTCAAATGCTTATGTCTGCCCAGCTACGAAGGAGACCACTGTGAGATTGGTATGAGGCTGCTTCAACTAATTCTACTAACGGTCTTTCAAAAACAACCTTAAGGTGACACACAGCTCTAGATGTTGCTGTAGTGGAACGAAAGTCCCTGGAAACGTATTTGTGTGTCGAGTAGGGATTGGTGAGGGTTTTTTTCCCCTGTGTGTGTGTGAGAGAGAGTTTTGTCTGTCAATTTATGGAAATCTGTTGCAGTTAAACATCAGCTTCTATAATCAGATACCAGTGCAGTGAAAACTTCACACAGCGCCACCTACCTGTGATCCGCTGCATGGTTGATGGACAGTGGGAGAAGCCTCGAGTGCAATGCATAGCCAGTAAGCTACTGAAGCATTACCAAAAACTATGACTATTACCCTACCATTAAAAAGTTTGGGGTTGGTTAGTTTTTTTTAAAGTGTCTTATGCTCACCATTTATTTGATCAAAAAAGATAAAACAGTAATACTGTATAATATTATTAACATTTTAAATAACTGCTTTCTATTTTTGTATCCTGTGATCCGCTGCATGGTTGATGGACAGTGGGAGAAGCCTCGAGTGCAATGCATAGCCAGTAAGCTACTGAAGCATTACCAAAAACTATGACTATTACCCTACCATTTAAATGTTTGGGGTTGGTTAGTTTTTTTTTAAAGTGTCTTATGCTCACCATTTATTTGATCAAAAAAGCTAAAACAGTAATACTGTATAATATTATTAACATTTTAAATAACTGCTTTCTATTTTTGTACATTTTAAAGTGTAATTTATGCCATTACTGCATGCTCCTTCAGAAATCATTCTAATATGCTGATTTGGTGATCAAGAAACATTTCTTCTTATTTTCAATGTTGTAAATGGTTCTGTTGCTTAAAATTTTTCCATAATTCTTTTTTTTATTTTTATAATACTGCAAATGTCTTTACTGTCTATTTTGATCAATTTAATGTGTCATTGATGAATAAATGTATTTCTAAAAAAAAAGTACAGATCCAAAATATTTTAAAGGCATAGTTCACCCAAAAATAAAAGTTCTGTCATTAATTACTTACCCTCGTGTCATTCCAAACCCCTTAAGACCTTCTTTCATCTTTGGAACACAAATTAAGATTTTATTTTTTATTTTTTTATGATGAAATCCGAGAGCTTTCTGACCCTGCATAGACAGCAAGGGTACTTTTTTTTGCACGCAAACTAAAATTACGAATTTATTCAACAATTCTTCTCACATGGACTATTTTAACGATGTCCTTACTACGTTTCTGTGCCTTGATCGTGGTAGGACCCTTGCTGTCTATGCAAAATATCTTAATTTGTGTTTTGAAGATGAACGAAGGTCTTACGGATTTGGAACGACATGAGGGTGAGTAATTAATGACAGAATTTTAATTTTTGGGTGAACTATCCCTTTAAATCATATCTATATGATGTTTTAATCATATAAGATTTAAAATAATAATTCATTTAAAATAACTAATTATTTAATCGCATTCTATACATTACTATGTGAAAGGTACTGACATGATTTCTTTTGTTTTTGTATTTATAGAGGTCAAATCCGGACTGCAAAAGGAATCTTCTGTTTATCACTCTCATAAATCTAATACAACAACATTGGAGAAACATCTCTAAGGAGATTTGAAGAGCTAGAGATTCATTTTTAAATCAGTATGAGTTTTATATTTATTTTCCAAGACACTGAATTATGAAGCATTTGTGATTAAAAAGTGTTATTTTCAAGATAAGTGCTCATCTTGTATATTGCTGCCCCCTATACATTAGATGTCAGTTATTGGCCATCAGCCATGATGGAGTGATTCATCTCATCCCTGCAACAAAAGATTAGAGACCAAAATATCAAAGACCAACAGCATTCTTAAAGATGTCTGTAAATATTTGCAGGTTTTCCTTTTGGACCAACTAGTGTTTTATGTTAAAAGGTACTGAGTGAAGAGCTGGATGTGCCCAGTTTTTCCTCGGTGAAGGACAGTGAAACGTTTTTGTCTTTCTCTGCTAGTAAGCCAAATTTTAGGTACATGCATAACATAAATGACGGGATGAAATGTGAATTATTATTTTCATCTAGTTTGTGGAGAGGAGATGCAAACCTAAAAAAAAAGGTCTATAGCCATAAAAGACGTTTACAAAAAAAAAATCGTATTTATTTCTAATCCCTAACCAGACAGATTAAGAAAACAACTTGCACAAGGATGTCGTTAATTTGTTATGTCTGAGTTGGAAACTAATGTGAAATGAGATCTATTTATTGCTCACAGCATAACACATAGTACATCCATCTTTGACTGGGTGTGTCCATCTTTTTCCTCACAAAAGCCATATGTAATTAAAGGAATAGTTCACCTAAAAAAGAACATTTTTAAAATTAAACAAACAAATTAAAATGTACTCAACCTCAGGCCATCCATGATGTAGATGAGTTTGTTTCTCCATTGGAGGAACAGATTTGGACAAATTTAGCATTACATCCTGGCTCACTGATGGATCCTCTGCAGTGAATGGGTGCCGTCAGAATGAGAGTTCAGACCTCTTATAAAAATCTCAGTCAACTCCAGTCCATAAATTATCATCTTGAAGCAAAGCGAAAATCCACCGGCATACTTGTTTAGAACTGTTTTGGCTTATGAACAGTGCTTGATCTGTGCATATTTCTCTCCTGATTCAGACAAGATACATTTTTCACTGGAGAAAACAATATTATGGATTGAGGACTTGTTTGCCGTTAAAAAAATACCTTAATGATAAACACCTTAATGTGTTTATTACAAACACACAACTTTATGCTTCACAAGATATTAATTGATGTACTGGAGTCGTGTGGATTACCTTTGGATTATTGTGAGGTTTTTATCAGCTGTTTGGACTCTCATTCTGACGGCACCCATTCACTGCAGAGGATCCATTGGTGAGCATTTGATTAAATCCTAAATTTCACCAAATCTGTTCCGATGAAGAAACAAACTTGGCCTGGAAGTGAGCAAATTTTCATTTTCAAGTGAACTATTCCTTTAAAGAACATCAGACATGGCCAAATCCAGTCAGATTAGGAATGTAAACCCAACAACGAAAATTTACTTGTTTGTTAGATGTTATCTGTCGCCCAAGACTGTGCAGGGCATAGTACTACATGGGGACAAGAATGACCCTGGATCAGCTAACAGCTTTTATTTTATAACAATAGTTCAGATAGAACTATTAATGACAAGTGCCTTGTGAATATTTTACATTTTGCCTGTTTCTGTGATGAGACTGCTTACTTAGTACAAGAGGCTGTGCCTCTTTCATCCCAAAGGCAGCGGGAGCTATCTTTTATACAGCATAGCTTTATTTTCATCTAATACAGCTGAAATGACGAATGCAGCATGAACTGCAGAAGATGCACAGATATTTCTTGAAAAGCATTTTTTTTTCTCATGAATTGCAAGCGGTTGATACCTCTGTGGCATAGAAAACCTATCATTTCTTGAATTGAGATGGATGGTGACCAGTCAAACAGTGAAAACGTGGGAAAATATGAGACGATACTGTCATTGTGATAATCTGTTGTCTTATAGTAGGAGAATTTCAATTTATCCATGAATGTCTTCAGATGAACTTTGTGTTTGAATAACTGTATTACAGCAAATGCAACAACGTGCCATTAAAACATTCCATACATCATGTTTAATACAGGACTGATTTGTTTGTTGGCTGGTAGTCTGTCATACAGAGCAGGAATGAAGGGCAAAGAGTACTCAGAGAGGTTATTCACAATGTACAGGTAGGATGGAAAGAAAATGGTTTTTACCTCACCAAACCCAGTCTAGAAATGTATTTTTAAACAGATGATAATGTTTGCCTAATTGGGTGGAGTGGAAGGAATGAACTTCCCTGTGACTGAATGGACCCCTTTTAGGCTGTTTGTGATGCCCTAACCTGTTTCTCCCATGTCGCCTAGAGAACCTTGTTATAGAGTATGAAGCCTAAAGTCTTCTGCCATCTTCTGGTGGATTTGAAGCATGACATCTTCTCTGGTAGATTTGTGTTGTCTACAAATGGCAGAATAAAGCATTTACCTTTGGAAAACAGCACTACACATTCAAATTTACAAATGATTTATTTCACGTGCATCAACTAAATATTAAAATGCATTTAAAATCTTTTTTATAATTATACTACAGTTTCTTAAAATATCTGCTGCGATAATATTATTTAATATTTTAAGATAAAACACAAATCTATTACTAGCCCAGGGACATGATATTCATGTCGCAGCATATCCAATGCTTTTGACCTAAAGAAAGAAATTTGAAGCTACAGATCTAAGAACCCCTCATTTCATCACGACATTTACTGAAGCCAGTTCTTTCTGGATTTTACGAGATTAGAAGACGAATCACCTAGTCACACGCATATTTTATTTTCTGACAAAGCACATATTGAATTTCTTCTTCAGTTTATGCCACATGCAAGGAAAAGCACAAATATTTAACATGTTTATTAATATTGTTAAAGACTATGTTTTACAAAAGATAAAAATACTCAATATTTGCACAATTGTACAATTCTATTCGATTTGGTTGACAAATAAAATATATAAACTGTAGTATAAAGTGTAGAGCAACTGCAGTGCAAACAGGTCAATTGATTTGAGCAGCTCTACCGTGCTTATTTTAAACCTTTACAGCGAGAACTAAGAAATTCCCTGGAGGATAATAGTGTTTTCAATTCATTTCTAATTTACAGCACAGTTTCTGACAGACCCATATATCAAGATTATTTCAGAAAAAAATATTGTAGACAGCTTTTGTGTGCTTATCCACCAAAAAAGGAAAAGAAAAGTTGACCTTTTTCCATTTCAGGGACAGTGCTGTACATGTGCTAGAAGGCAGACAGGTTGAATCAAGGATAGGTTTTTACTCATCCTGGTCACCAAAGATGAGGAATAACAGTAAAAGAGTTTGTATATTTCATTGTCAATTAGGACATGCATTTTGAAATATAAGAATGGTCAGTGGTTATGAGACTTACAGTTTTAGAAAAAATTAGAATCAGCCTAATTTTTCGTTGCAGGTTAATGGTTCTTCAGATTTTGTAATATGCGACCACCTGAAAGCTGAATAAATAAGCTTTCCATTGATGTATGGTTTGTTAGGACAGGACAATATTTGGCCGAGATACAACTATTTGAATATCTGGAATCTGAGGGTGCAAAAAAAAATCTAAATATTGAGAAAATCACCTTTAAAGTTGTCCAAACGAAGTCTTTAGCAATGCATATTACTAATCAAAAATTAAGTTATGATAGATTTACGGTAGGAAATTTGCAAAATATCTTCATGGAACATGATCTTTATCTAATATCCTAATGATTTTTGGCATAAAAGAAAAATCGATAATTTTGACCCATACAATGAATTTTTGGCTATTGCTACAAATATACCCCATCGACTTAAGACTGGTTTTGTGGTCCAGGGTCACATATTCTCTGACACCCAAAAATGTAATTTCTCAAGTTATTCTAAACCTGTATTAGTTTCTTTCAGCTGTTGAACACAAAAGAAGATATTTAGAAGAATGTTGGTAACCCAACTGTTGCCATTGACTTCCATAGTATGGAAACAAATACTATGAACGTCAATGGCTACTCTCAACTGTTTGGTTACCAACATTCTTCAAAGTATCCTTTTGGGTGAGATCAACTAGATCAACTGAGCTTTTCAAACAACATCAAAATAGTGACATTGATACAATAAAATACAAAGCATTACAGATGAGGCTAATGTATACTGAAACGAAACATCACCTACAACCAGCAGAAACACTTCAGGTGGAAGCAGTGCAGAGAGAGGCAGTGTGCAGCCTTCAGCACATCCGCTAATCATCACAGCCCAGCAGCTCCATGCGTAAAGTTATCCGCTCATGCCACTCCCAGGGCAGAAACCGCACAAATCGAGCAAAGAACGGAGGCTCAAACAAATT